ATAAAATGGAAGATTTCCCTTTTGTGGGATCTCTCTGTCTGAGTGAATGAGAAAATGACTTTACAAAATTTGCCTCATGCTTGAAAGCCACGTGCAGGACACCAAAAGATCTTGAGCAGTACTGAAAGCAGTCATGCGTTAGGTTTCATGTACTGATAAGCAACATAATGCATAGCAGCTGAGGGATACTTCCAACACAGTTGGGCAACAAAACAAAGATTTCAACCCTGCAACCTGTTTTCTTAAAGTAAGTCTCTTTTATTCCTGCTACAAACCTGAAAGAACATAGGCAGTAACTGGAAGGGTGTCCCTGGAGCTGCAATCAGGAGAGGGACAGCCACAGATGTATTAAACCAAGGCAGAGCGAAAGAGAAGAAAGAGGCAGAAGGAGAGAGAGCACAGCTCCTTCTTTCTTCCCACTGCAAACACCATGCCATGTATGAAATAACAAGCACCTTGATCAGCTCTGCCTTCTCTGGCCTAACAGAGGGGACAGCACAAATGCCTGCCTTCAGGAAGCAGCACATGAGCTTTGCACATCACCTGTGCCCCATTCTCCTCACTCTGAAGCTGCTGTGAGATTCCGGTTGTGAAATTGTTGGCTCTGCAGAACCACCATCTGATCACACACAACATTATGAGAAAGACCATATGTAACGAGCACATGCAAGCAACCAAGAAGACAGAAAGAAAAACCCATACACTTGCAATACCTAATAAAAACACAATAAAAGAAAAAAAAGGTAAGAAGAGAACTGGGATGAAATAGGAACCAAGCAGTAACCGCTGCTGTGCATTGCACAAGGAAAAGCACTCAAAAGACTCTGTCAGGCATCAATTTATTGTGCAGTTTATCTGTAACTGCTTTTAAAAGCATAGTTTTTGCTTCCTCTTGAGTACTACATGTAAGCCTAATTACAGAACACTCTCAGGTGAAGTATACAGCATGCAGCCTGCATTGCCTTTATATTGCCATCCTTACTACTTACTGTCTAGGAGGCAAAAATCCCATGCCTTCTGCAGTCCCCATCTTCTCCATGGGTTGCTGCTATTTACACAGGTGAAAGGATAAGCCCACTTAGTATTTCACAAACAGAATACACAGGACAGAGGAATTTGTGAGAAATGTTCTAAAAACAGAGGCTTTTTTGCAATCCCTGTTTGCCCAAGTAGGGATGAACTTTAATTGCTCTGACAGAAAGTTATTAACATGTTGATAACCACAGGCACAATCTACAAAATTCTCTGAAACAGACCTCGATGTCCTGTTGAGGTTTGTTGTTTATTCACTTTTAAAACTGGCCAAGACTGTGTTCGTTTTTGGCACCATCAGAAGCATACCTGATTTTATCAAGCCAAAACTGGCACCCTGCAGCCATGTCAAGACAGATTACTTCCACAGCCATGCTCCACAACAACCTGTCATGAACCAGGAACTGGAATACTGCTATTTTCTTCACAAGCCCCCAGACTATTTAAAATCCAGACAACAGCTATAAACCCACTTCTAAACATTATACTAACAGAAACTTTGGGAATATTCAGGTCATATCCAAAAGCTTCACCGTCTGGCCCCACAGTGTTTTTCCACGTCATAGGCAGAAACCCCTGGAAATACATCTCAGTGTTAACACTATACAGCTACAATCATCTCTAGTACCCAATGCAAGCAATGAGAAGAAACTGACTAATGACATTTTATAACAGTCAGTAGCTGAACTGGAAAAGAAAGGCTGCAAAGAAAAAACAATGGAGAAGAAACTGATTTTTAAAAAAATCCTAGATTAAACATAAACAAATAACATAAACCACGCAAAAGATCTATTCCAGAACATCTACAAACTCCATAGCTTACAAGTTTAGTGCACAGTCAATGGAAATCTACAAAGCTATGTAAGATACCAAATACGCCACTAACATTTGAAAACCATACCTGAAAATGCCAGGCTTATGTTTTCTGAAAAAGATGCTGGAAAATGTGAACCAATGCACTCCTTTTAGGATTTCAATGGCTAAAAATGTGAGTTCATGCAGTCAATAATATTATATTAAATCATGCTTTTTTAGTTAAATACTGGTTTTACATGTTACATTAGTCTCTTCACAAAGATGATTAACACATGAAGCAATCTTTATGATATGCATGTGTGCAAAATTGCATCTAAAATCAAAAGATCTCAGTGAATACTGATGTTTTGAAGCTCTTTCCACCAATTCTAGTTCTGCGAGAACAGCTTCTATGTAATACAAACAGAGCTTTTTTATTTCTTTTGAGAAAATTACACACACATACTTGCATTTTTTTCCAGGTCCCTGTCAAGGTCTTCTTCAACAAAGGAGAAAGTAACAACAGATGGACCCTCAGCCTTTTGAAATCAGTGGAAAAATTTCCATTGTCAAAACAATTGTGCACCTAACCTAGAACACTAAATATACAAGGAAAAAAAATGCAAAGAGCTATTCATACACATGCTCTCATGCACACAATAGAGAAGTGAGGAATAAAGCCAGAAATTGTGGAGGGTGGCAGGTTTTTTGGTAACTCACTTGGTTTCACAATGCTGAGTGCCACACTCTACTAAGCTATATATATAAGTCACAATTCAAATTCTTCACATTTACAACATCCTAGTCAGCGAAGATGACACATACCACACATTACACAGACAACGCACCTGTAACTTTCATCCCATCATCAACCAACTCACATGAAAACACTAAGAGCACCTTCTGTTCCTTTAAAAGGGGTTCAAAAACCTTTTACAAACTTTTAAGAATGGGACGTGAGCTACAGCAGTTCAGCAGTTCTTCAGCACAATGCACTCTTCAGCCACTCATCTGGAAAAGAGCTCTGGCCTTTCAATTACTTTTTTAGATAGATAGATAGATAGAGATATATAAGTGTATATTTATACTTACATAGATATATATGTTATATACACACACCCCCCATTTATAATCCACACACACGGGTGCACACATGCACACACACACACATACACTCCGCTTGTTTATCTACCAAGAATTGTTACTGCTAACACATCTGAAAAAAAAACAACTAACGCTGGACTTGCAGGATGCTAATTCCTCAAAATGTAAAATGAGGAAAAAAAGATCTAACATAACTGAACTGCCACCATTAAGCCTAAACTTAATTACAAACTGCCAACACCTTATTGTAACTCCACTGTAAACAACCCACCAAGCAAACTACTGGACTTGCCAGATAAAAGGATGCAATACTAAAGAAACAGAGATACACAATTGAACAATTTTACGCATGACTATAAAATGTTTTCTAAGTCCTTTCTTAAACTCAGAAAATGTATATTTTATGCTACTTTTCCCCCAATGCTGCACAGCCAAGCATGGAGCTTCAATATAACACCAATTAAAACACTTCCTCCACTTTAGCAAAAATGCATCAGCATAATTCTCCATTTTGACATTATACTATTAATCCATAGCAAATTTACTCATTAACAGTAACATTCTGAGGGAAGAATTAAAATAACTGTGAACAAGCTGACACTACTGTACAAAATACAGTCAAAACTGTTACGTAATGGGTTTGTTTGATGACTATAATTACTAAACTTTTTGAGATTATGGATTTTTTGCCCCCATGTTTTCACTGCATCCCCTATAGCACAAAAGGCAGGAAAAGATTTTGAAAGGCATTTCTACACTGTGCAATATTTATTTAAATTCAGGGTAATTTTTTCAATAACTACTCAGTAAAGCCAAACCAATTACAAAACTCTGCAGGTAATTTACACAGAACACATCCAGATGAATGAAAATCCAGAAAATTAATTTTCAATATTTACTCAAAGTTTCAGATTTCAAGTTACACAGCTCAAAATACTGTAGTTTACCATAATCTTAAACCAGTTCAGGTTTTGTAAACCAGACAGACAATTAATTTTTTTCACCACCAATTAATCTGCTAAAGTGGAAAGTGAAACTTTTCCTTGCAGACAACAGACTACTGCAACACGAAGCTGGAGTAGAAAAAGGTTAAGATGGAAAAAAGAAGAAACCATACTTTATTCTACTTTTGAAATAACATTATGGTAAAATGATACTACACATTTTAAGATGTATCTTCGAGAATGAGAAGACTGCAGAGAACAATGCCCCATGTATTAAAGAACACTTTTCTTAGAACTGGTACAATGTATTGGAGCAACACTTTATTTTTGTAAACTCTTGTAATGATATCCCAATTCCTAATACATTACAAATATGGTTGCATTAATTCTACCATCAACAAAGACAGAAGTTAATACTAGACCTAGATATAGATCATGAAGTTTAATAAATACATAAAGCAGGAAGGTAGCACTGGAAACAGTATTGGAGCCAGCATATCATGAGCAGAGTTGCCCTTTTTTTTCTTTAAAGAAACAATATCTGTATAAAAAACATAGACAAGAAATAAATTCCTACACTTCAGCACAACATTTTTAATAATAATTACCAAAACATGACCTTACATAAGGGGGTGAATGAAGAAGGGTAGATTTAACAGCATTTATTAAGGCATTTCTGATTCAGAGGAGCAGGGAAAAAAAAGTCAGTTTACAGGTTGAATGAAGTATGACCTGACTTTACTGTGTAACACTATTCCATAATTACTTCTTGTATTTACTATTCATTATTTATCGTATTTACTATTCATATGCACTCAGCTAAGTGAAACAGCATGATAAAAAACTCTTTTCAGAAAGATGAACAATAAACTCATCTTTTGTAAATTAACTAAGGCAACTAACTTCTCTCTTCCTATTTTGCTTGTGCAAGTAACATTTTTGCAAATGCTTCAGAGACAAAACATTAGCACTTTTGACTTTAAAACTACAGCGTTGTTTAAAGAAGGGTTCTGAGTAGAGAAGGTCCCTTACAAACCCCATTGACTTCGGTGCAGAGGTCATAATGCCTGTCTCTGAAATTACAGGGCTTTGGATAGTAGCATTCAAACTTTTCACCATGGGGATATGGGAGCATTTGAAAGAGGTCAGCAGTCATTCAGTCCTTCTCCAAGCCCCAAACAGCTCGAAATGGAAACTCTCAGCAAGTTCCCCAGTGGGGGATCCCTGCTTCAGGGAGACCTGGCGGGCTGTGAACCAGGAGATTCAGCTCCCACGCACTCCTGCCCACAGCACCTTCTCAGGGTGGGGAAAGGGAGTGGCTGGGATAAACCCTGTTCTAGCCATAGCCAGGTGGCATACCACTCCTCGGGAATCACAGCCAACTGGAGTAAACTAAAGTAGACCTCAGGCTACCTTAGATAGGGCTGGGCCAAGTCAGGAGAGGAGAAACACGCAGCCGTAATTAGGACAGAGTTCAAGGAACACATGCTCTCTTAATCAAAAACATTTTTCCTCTTAATTTGGCCTGGCATTAATAGTTTTACAAAGGTCTTTGTAGCATACCTCCTGTTCTTTCCATCTCTATAGCCACACATACAAATACTAGCAAGTCTAGGTGGGAAGAAGTATGAATAGCAGGGAATATTACCTCTGCCATGTCATTTCTATTTCTACTGTACTCGGGATTTTTGAATCCTGAAAGAAGGGGCCAGATGACAAAAATTCAACTGCAATTCCAGTGCTGAGAATGAAGGTGCTCCTCCTCCCCGGGAGAAGCATCAGGTAGGTAAATCAAAACAGGCTGTCCCTGAAGACAAACATCCCAGCAAGCCGAGAATCAAATTGGAGATAAACACAAACTGTTATTCTTAAATTCTACAGAACTTCAGTAAAACTGAGCCCCAACTGGAACAACACTGGAAAATACTGGCTCTATGCTCTTTTTCTGCTTCTGTAATTTTGCTGCCTGGACAGCAGTCAGCAAGAAAGGTGGTTAATAGTATTTATCCATTCAGCCTCATGTTAGCTGTCACAAGGACAACATGACCACAAAGAGATGGGAGAACTTTTCAAATACAAAAGATGAGAACAGCCTGATAAGAAGCCATCACACATCCATGTCCTTCAAAGCCTGAGACCAAACTATGAGTAGCTTTGCCTGTGGAAACAGTGAGTTCACTTCGATTAACTTCCTGAAAGCAGCAGGGTCTTCTAGAAATCATGAGTTTTCTAAATTTTTTCTAAAATCATTAGTTTTACCTTGAGGAAGTCAATTCATACAAACTTTTAAAAATGGGAAGGGACACTGACGGAACAGTGTTGTGGAGATGTCAAAAATCAGATACATAAAACCAGGCCTTGAAAACTGAAAATTAAGTCAGCAGAGAGACATAAATCTGTCTATGGCTGCAGGCATTTGTTTTAAGGGGAGAGAGGTCAGGAAGTTGGCAGAGCTGGTAGTGAGGTTTTTTTGCATACTTTTTTTGCTCTGCTCTGTCAGCCCCTGTTCTCTGAGGCTATACAAAACCTCAGATCTTTGCCTGAACACCTTTCCAGTCTTCAAGGTCCTCTCAGATCTTCAAACAAAGAACTGTATGAGAACTTGTATCTGGTAGAAGGACTTACAACTGATAACATCTATTTTAATTAAAATACAAAGTAGCTGTTTCACACTGCAGTGCTTATTTCCCCTCACATCACTTGCCCCTTCTGCTCTATTTACCATGGAAATGATGATCATTTACAGAGATGAAACACAAAGAGACTACCAAAATAGTGTGGTTCCCTCTGGTAGGAGTTGTAAAAAATACATGTACTAGTTCCTAACTCCCCAAACTTGAAGTCAAAATAATGAAACAAAACAGGAAAAATATTTTTTTTATTAAAAAAGGAAATACAATTTCCCCCTTTCTGAAGTGCAAAGACTTGAAGTCCAGACCCTCCCAAGGGAGTTAGACTGGTAGCAGCAAGAACTGCATTCTGCTCATTCAAATACCATCTCAAGGCTTTGGCCAGCAGACCAATCTCACCAGTTTTCAGTCTCCTCGTCATCTTGTTCAGAAGACTGTTTCATATCACATCTTCTGGGTTTCTGCTGGATCCCAGCCTGGCTCAGTTTAAAGCTACCTTGCAAGGGGCAACACTCTGCCAAGCAAATAGCTCCAGGGACAGCCAACACAAAGCACAGAGATAATGACACACATTTGGAAAGTGTGTTGTGGTTTGGAGCAGGGGAGGGAGAAGCTGCCAAAGCTTTTGCAGAGTCACAAGGTTAAATCCTCTCTGCTTGGAGACTCTCAGAAAAACACAGCAGAACAATAAAATAAGACCACTGCTGCTCAGCCTCCCAAATAAGAGTATCCATACAGGAGCATAAAAGTATATGCTGTTTATAATATCCTAACAACATTAGCTGATTTGCTGCACACAGTGAGAAAGAAAATTTATGCACAACCTTCTGCTCATGGATGAAATTGCTGGTCGAAGTTTTTTTGCGTTTGTATCATTGACAGTGCAAGGTATATGCTGTCACCTACTTGCTGGGAGGCCTCTGTCTCCCTGTCACTTACCAGACTAGGAAAAAACAAATGAAAGAAGGTGAGGGGAGTCTAAGAAGGTTGTTTAGATTAATTTAATCCTCTCTCCTTATCATCCAGGAAGGAAATAATAGAACAAGAAGAGCTATTTGAGAAAGACAAAATGGAATGGCAAAGCAGGAATTCAGTGAGGACACACTGCAGAAACAAAAATGAAGTTTTGTAGGGGTACACAAAAACACTGGGCAGGAAAGAAACAGCTAAGGTAAAGCAAACCAGTACAGGTATTTTCCCTAGGTACATGAATATGAGATGGTAGTGGAAGACACCCGCATACAACATAATGCCCCATATATGCATAGCCCCCCTCATCTTGAATGCCAGACAATTTCCTGAGTGCCTATCCCTGATCAAACTCAAAGCTTCCAGCATTTCCTAGCATCAAGTCTCCGAACTTACTATAAAAAAGCAGATTTAAAAAGGTTAAGGATCAAAAGTACTCTGCGCACAGACCCACTCAAGTTAGGAAAAAATGAAAGCGACTTAACTGAAAACAAAAGTGGCACTGGCTAGATGACAGGAAAAGCTTTCTAACTAGAAGAGTAACAAAGCACTGCAGCTGAGCTCCTGGGAGGCTCCTTTAGTTGGGCCTTTCAAAAATAGACCAGACCAAAGGAACCTGTAAAGAATTAACCACATTTTCGTGACCATGCCCTCACGTATTGTAATTCACTATAAATTGACTATATATCCTATTCATGTAATTGCCTTCTACCCCTATTCGTCTACAGAAGCAATCCTAGCCATTGAGAAATTATTACTTTGCCTTTCACTAAAAAAAAAAAAAAAAAATCATTACACGTGCTTTAATTCTGAGTTTCCTCACAGAAATATGCAGGCCTACTGGTTTCAGGAGTCAGCAGGGTTCATGCTTTTGAGTTCCTTGCTGCAACCATGACAACAGAAAGTTTAAATTATTTTAAATGAGAGCAAGAAAGAAATTCCAGGACTTTGCACTGATGAAAACACAAAAGTAAAGTCCACTGCAAGACTCAGGCTGTAGCACTGGAGATTTGAAGCCTTCCAGAGAAATAAGAGACCCTTGAAGATACCTGTGTAAGCTGAACTACCATTACCACAACCTGTGCAGGCTCTTAACCAACAGCAAATGAAAGGTAAAGCAAATAAATTGTCTTATTGCAATCTAAACTGAACTGAATTACTAAATATTTGCTATTCATGCATGTGGATAGCTACCACAGCTGAACACTTAACAGCTTGATCATGTGCCCAAACCTTTCGATAGAAACTTGTAAGAATCAGCAGAGCCTAGAAATATTGTATGTAAGTAAATACTGTAGTTCCACTGGAGAACTTAATTTTAGATTGGCTAACACACCTCCCTGAATCGGAGAACTTTCAGCTCCACCTCACCACATAAATGACTTTGTGACAGTCAAACCTTCCTTTTGAAATACAGTTTTAATATGTTCCTATGTGAAGAATTACAGTACTGCTTCGAGGCAATCATTTCTTTGTGTCAGCAGCAGCTGCTCCTTAAAACTGTTAAATCCACATTTAATTATCTGTGATTGTTTGTTTATTAAAAATACAGACTCAACAGCATAAAATCTCCAATCTGTTTCTAGCCTTGAGTAACAGAATGCCAATTCATAATGCTACGGTGCTGCTTTCCAGTTTCAGTTCATGGGTCTAGCTCTCATATGCCAGGCATCATGAAGGCGTACACTTACTCTGTAACTGTTAACTCGGGCCTTGAGACAGTTTTTCAGAATTACCTGAGTGCCAAGCATGATTTTTAGAAAAGACTTTTGAGAGACTCTTATGCAAGCACCTACTTTTGAAAATAAAATAAGTATCATGCCTGTGTTCTTTATGTACAATTCCAATCCTGCCTATGGTTACATGATACAAGATAATCCCCACTGACATCAACAGCATCTTCCTCACCAAGATCAGATCCTTCCAACTTCTTATTTTTCATATGCATAATTTTTTCTGTTTTGATTTTAATTTTGTTTGTTTTGATACATTATTGCTTAAATAACATTTGGGATAATCCAGTAAAGAATAGTATTTTTTTTCTCCTGTAGCGGAACACGTGTGAGCTGACTAAAGCCTAACCACTGACTTGACTTACTTTGTCATAATCAAGTGTCACTGGAGGACATAATTCCCAGTTGAAGCCAGAGCCCAAAACCAGAACACACCTTTGTTCAAAATAAAAAATCCTTTTCAGCAGATCCAACCTTCTATCTAAATGAAGTAGATTAAGAAAAAAAAAAAAATCACAAAATCATCTGTTACACCAGGCTTCAAACAAGTCTGTTACTTCACCAAAATATTTTCTCTGCTCTCATCCTTAGCATAGATAGATATACATAGATATACATATGTTTCAAGGTGCTTTAACCTTCTCCAACACATTCTTTTCCCACAGGTGAACAGCACATAAGCCAAAGAGACTGCAGGAGGTTTGTATTTTTTTCCCTATGAAAGCACATTCAGCTAGTCAGAAAGACAATTTTTGTACACAGAGTAAATCGAGGTTTGGGGGTTTGATGGGCTGGCAGGACTGAGGGGTTGATCAAACAGGTTCGATAGATTGTGCGTTCTGTGTCTTGATAAGGCAAATACTTTCTGTGGAATTACCTGCTAAGCCTTCGGCAGATGAGCCACCTTTGCAGCTTTGTGTTAGAGATGCTTAAAATCTTCAGGCCTGCCTAGAAACCTTCTTCAATTCACACTGCTCCTGGAGCCACAGGTACCATCCTGCCTCAGGCAAGGGAGGTTGAGCTGCTAAGCCTAACCTATTATCTTTCTCACTTAA